TAGTAACATCAGATATGAATATGTGTGGAGTGCCCTTACAAGACTGTCCATCTGGACCTGGTCTCTCCAGTGCCAGGAGGCAACACCACATATGCTGCTTCATAAACCAGTGACCTCCCATGTAAAAGTAGCCAGTGTTCCCCTCGCCCGTCCTATCTTGGAAGGCCACTTCACATGCTGGGGCTCTGATAACGATGTGAAGAGATTTCTGAGCAGAGGGTGGCCAGCTGGGGTGGAGTGGTCCTGTGAACCCAAACCCCATGGGCACACAGAACAAGCCCATTGCTCGTCCAGCTGGACTCCTCTGTCAGCCTGGTTTGTCTCCAACAAGATGCTGTTGCCCAAACAGAGATTTTTATTTTTAAGCAGTAGTTTGTACTGAAAGAGTTGAGTAGTTGTTACATGGCTTTCTTTTCATGTTGGATCAGCCTGTCCTCTGCCCTCCTCCTTGATCCTTTTCTCTCTCCAAGCTAGTTCACAACTGCAACCACCACACTGCACACAGCTTTTTTCAGCTGATTTTGCACACCCTGTTACAGTGGTGGTAGCTAGTTGGACTTTTTTTTACAGTTTTCTTTCGTCGTTGCCACCTTTTAGAAGAATCAGAATGAATACTTGACTTGATTGGTTCAGCCCAAATGGAAGATTTTGTTTTGGCCCAGGTTGATTTTACACAGTTCCTGCCTTTCACTGTCTCAGCCCTGTGTTTCTTCTGTGGGCACTGTCACAGGCGTAGCCCACCATCCTGCTGACCTGCCACAGTGCATCCCTGAGGCAGTCAGTGCAAGTGGAAGACAGGAGAGACGTGGGGCCTGAAGCAGTGGGAGTGTAGCTCCAGTGCAGCTTAATAGACCTCAGATTAACACTGAGCAAAGTTGAAACAAAATTATAAAATAATAGAATGGCTGGGTTGGAAGGGTCCTTAAAGATCATCTAGTTCCACTCCCCCTGCCATGGACAGGGACACCTTCCACTAGATCAGGTTGCTCAAAGCCTCATCCAACCTGGCCTTGAACACTTCCAGGGATGGGGCATCCACAGCTTCACTGAGCAACCTGTTCCAGTGTTTCACCAGCCTTGTTGTAAAAAATTTCTTCCTTACATCTAATCTAAATCTCCCCTCTTTCCGTTTAAATCCATTGCCCCTTGTCCTATCACTACAGGCCCTTGTAAAAAGTCCCTCTCCAGCTTTCCTGTAGGCCCCCTTTAGATACTGGAAAGCTGCTAGAAGGTCTCCTCAGAACCTTCTCTTCTCCAGGCTGAACAGCCCCAACTCTCTCAGCCAGTCTTCATAGGAGAGGTGTTCCAGCCCTTGTATCATCTTTGCAGCCCTCCTCTGGACCTGCTGCAAGAGCTCCATGTCCTTCTTATGCTGGAGGTTCCAGAGCTGAATGCGGTACTGCAAGTGGAGTGTCATGACAGCAGAGTAGAGGGGCAGAATCACCTCCCTGGACCTGCTGGCCACACTTCTTTGGATGCAGCCCAGGATGCGGTTGGCTCTCTGGGCTGCAAGCGTTGAGCTTCTCATCAACCAACACCCCCAAGTCCTTCTGTCCTGTTTTTAGCTGGGACAGTTAGCTCTTCTTTTTAGCAGCTAGAAGAGCTCCGTGTTTTGGTTTTACTCAGAGGCTCACTCTGAGAAGAATGCTGATAGCAAGGTGATGTTTGTGGTTGGACGTGAGACTCCAAGGACTTTTCAGTGTGCCGGAGTGCAGAAGCACGGCGGGATAAGGGGGACGCATAGTCGGGACAAGGGGGCCACGATTCCCCTTGTGATTTGTGGTGGAACTTAAGATTGAGGGCCAAACTGGCCAATTAGTATTCCATATCATGCAGCATCATGCCCAGTATAAAGGTGAGGGTCAGCCGGACAGAAGGACTTTTGCGCTTTGGCTCTTTCGCCGCTTCTGCTCTTTTTCGCTTGCTGCGCTTTTGCTCTATTGCCTTTTTTCCCCCTCTCTCTTCCAGTACTCCCACTCTCGGAGTACTATCTCTCTCTCTCTCTCCCCTCTCTATTTTGGGGCCTCGCGTTCGTCCGGGATTGCAGCTTCAGGACGAGACGGGCTTTGCATATGAGGGGGTGGTGAGCATCTACACTGTGTATTAAATCATCTGTATTAAATTGTTCTTATCTCAACCCACAGGTATCCCATTTATCCTTTAATTCTCTCCCTCATCCCTGGGACTGGGGGAGGGTGAGTCAACGACTGTACGGGGGGGCGGTTTGGTTGCCGGAGCAGCCTAACCCACAACACCTTCTCCTCCAGGTTGCTCTCAATCCATTCTCTACCCAGCCTGTACTTGTGCTTGGGATTGCCCCAGCCCATGTGTAGGACCTTGCACTTGGCCTCGTTGAACTTCATGAGGTTCTCACAGGCCCACCTCTCCAGCCTGTCAAGGTCCCTCTGGATGGCATCCCTTCTCTCCAGCGTGTCGATCACACCACACAGCTTGGTGTCATTGTCAAGCTTGCTGAGGATACTCAATAAAAAAAGTCAGCCTTCTTTCCGTACACAGGAACTGCCAAATTGCAGAAGTCCTGACAGTTTATCGGCTCCAGTACTTGTGTAAACGTAGGCTTTATATCACCTTGCACTTCATTTAGTAGTCTAGCTGCTGACCACCTACCTAATTTGGCTTTGAACTCACAGACAAAAATTGTTAGTGGCCTGATATTTCTTTCTTGTTGCTAATTAGTTGATATGTGGGAACGTATTATGATGAGGAATGAGAAAGTTGTGGTTTATGTCCTAATAAAGCTTAACAGGGTGAAGGAGGACAGATAACTTGTGACTCTTGCCCCAGGCCTCAGAATCCTGGAAACCAAAAATTAGCTGGAGCTCACAGTGTGTCTCAATGTGGGGCTAAGGCACAGAAACAGATCATCTGATGCTTCTGTCCCATCTTTTTCTTGCTCTCAGAATTCAGTCATGCAATGCATCTAAGAATGCCCGATGTCAAGGATCTCAGTGATGTCTGAGGAGATCTTTTTAAGTTCCTCAATGCAAATTTTCAAAAATCAGGCACTTTGCTAAATAAACCTGGAAGATATAAATAAACTCAGTTTTATTCCACAGGGAGCACTACAATTTTACGACATGCCGTTTCAAGGCAAGTAAGGTGCAGATGATAAAGTTGTCAAGAGAGATCTGATGGGATAAATTCTCAAATGTAACATTTCCACATAAATGATGGATTCGATTCCTGCCTGGGACAGGTTTCCTTTGAGCTCTGTTCGTGGACGTACTGTTATGCTGGACTCCGAGCAAGTTCAGGAAACCCGAAGTACAATTTTAAGGCTGAGTTTGTATGGTTTTGTATGTGTCAATGTAAAGTAGCATTCTGTTCAAAACAGAAACAAAACACACACACGCGCATCCACAATGCAAAAAAACTAAACCACCCCAAACTTGATGTGTGATTAAAGTGAAGGAAAAATTAAGGAGAGACAGCAGCGAGCAGATAGTCTCTAGTGAGGCCACTCAGAGCATTGATTTCTCAGAGCCACAGAGTTTTTTGAGGGAAGGAGGTTTGCACTGATCTTCCCATTGCTTCTGGGTTTCTGAAATTAGTAGCCCACTTCTCAGAATCACCTTTACTAACCTTGATTGTCTTTCCTTGTCCCGGAATTGTAGGTAGCGCTCTTTCCTTACCTTACTAGGAGTGCTGCAATGAAAGCCTTAATTCATTCATGTTTGTTGAGTTGCACAAAGAGTATGGAGATAAGTGTTCTGTGGGAATGTTTATAAAATGAAGAAAGGCTTGAAAAGTATGAGAGCAAATGAATGTGTGTCCTCATGAGAGCGGAAGTGATGCGTGGTGGAAAAAGTTAGAAGCAAGAGCTAAGACTTTCTCACTAGCTTTCATTGCTAGCTACTGAGCATTTCTTAACCTGCTGTATTTTATTTTTAAGCTAAGGAGGAACACTTACTATTCCACTCAGTGTATCAGCCATAAGCCAAATTCTTCATCGTTGATCATGACCAGTAGTTAATGCCCTGCTTGTTGTTAGTCATATACCCTGAAATGACGCCAAGGCCAATTTAACTTCCTAACAAAACAGGTATTCACTGAGTGATTTATTGGAGCTATAAACTAAAACTAACAGTTTATTATCGTAACAGATCTTTAAAAGGGCAGAATTTTTCAGCACAGCTGAACAACTGCAACAGTGTTTTGTGCCTTTCCAGAGCAGGCTAATTATTAAATACTGGCACCGAAGCTAGTTCTTTTGTGAAAAGTTTGGAAACCAGGATGTTTCAAAGATACCCATAAATATTGCTGGGCTTATTAGATAATATTGAGGTGTATATTTAAGTAAAATCAGCTGGATTGAGTTAGTGCTATCTATGCACCATACAGAACACAGCAATCCACTGCACAGATAATCATTATCCAAGATTCAGAATCAGAGGAATGGCAAGAATATTTCTGCTTTAAAAGTCCCTGAGGCATGCATAACATTTAGTTTAGTGAATTTGCACAATTACTTGCTGTGCTTGAGGTTTTGACACAATTCAGTAACACCAATGGTTATGAAGTTTGAATATTCAATAATATTAAGATTAAAATACCTGCAGAAATCTGGAAGTACGTTTTTGGCATCTTAGGTTCAATACTAAATTATTTCATTTGGGAGGAATCCAAGAGTTCTTTAGCTAGAAAGAGGAGATAATCACTACATAATTGCACTGTACAGATTAACACAGAGTACTGGACAGCCTAGTGTCCAGTGTAGCCTTGCCACATAGTGTGAAATCCATTCCAGCTCACAGAAGAGCTCACTGGCACCAGAGCTTATCGGTGTCTGTTTCAGTTTTACAGGGTACATTGCATGTGTCAAGCTCTGTTACTAGCATTTGGTTCTGAAACCCTGGCTCCCGCTTCCCAAGTAAAGAGGACAGCGGTTTCACCGTGGGATTTCAGGTCCTGTGCAGGCTCACTAACATACCTTCACCTAGAATGTACAGGTCAAAGCAAGTGTGTTCTTCCTCTTCTAGATCAGTGCTCACCAGGTGAATATTCTCCTGATGGCTTCAAACCCTGTCTGCCATGTCCCATTGGAACATACCAGCCTGAAGCTGGGAGAGTATCCTGCTTTCCCTGCGGAGGAGGACTGACAACAAGGCATGGCAGTGCATCCTTGTTTCAGGACTGTGAGACCAAAGGTAAGGTCAAGATTTATTTGATGAACTGCATTGCTCCAAGGCAAAAGTAACTGCTGCTGCTGCAAGTGGGGCATTCAGGAAAGTCATTTTCCTTTCAAGGATCTCTCCTTCCAGGGGTCTCATAGTTGGCTGGCCTGGCCTGGCTGCAAGGAAATTGAATAAAGCCTCAATTCTTTTTATAATTGATTTTTATACAAGACTTGAGAAGGAGTTGAGAGATACATGGAAGGTGGTCAGTGAAGTCGTTGATCTGTGAAGAGTCATGGAAAGGAACAGCAGGGAGAAAAAAGTCTGAAGATCAAAGATCAGTATGCCTTATTGACATTTTGGGTTTGAGCACAGCAGCAACATGAAAATGGGAAGGAGGGAAATGCAGTCCTAGACAATAAGAAAGAAAATGGTTTCTTCATGTTTGTAATTCAAAACTGTCTTGGATGCCTTGGGATGTACCTCAAAAGTTACCATTCAACTTAACCCTGCGGTACCTCAGACAGCCCTCTAAATTCGATCACAGTGGAGCTGATATACAATCAGCTCTCAAGATTTTCCTCACAGAAGTGAAAATCAGGGGGGCATCGTATCTTCAAAAGTGAAAGAATTTCGTTAGCATCTTAGTTATCTAAAATGTAAAAGCTGAAAGACAGCTATGAAGTTGTCTTTGAAAACGCTGATAAAAATATGTGTACATGGAGAGAGATGAAACGTTAGTCAGTATAACGGTTTGCTCAGTGTCTTAAAGCACGGGTCAAAGAACATGACATGTCAAAATCTCCTGAAGAAAAAGTGTTAATAAAAGATCTACTGTGTAGAGTAGAAATAAGAAATAGAAATAAGGTCCTGATGCACATATTTGTTAGTGTTTTGGATTAAGAGATATCTCTTGTGTCAGTTAAGATATGTTTATTATTGAGAATTGGCAACATAATAGAAGAATTTTACAGTATGATTGAAGAATTAATATTATGGTTAATAATGTGATAGCTAATAGATTTCTTCAGTGAAGAATCACTGAATCCACAAATGCTGTTGTTTCAAACTTAATTTTGCAAAGTTGAAGCACTAAAAAAACATGTTAAAAACTTTGGATCAAGATAAGAGGAGTTAATTTCATGTTTGTTTAACATAAACAAAAACAGGTCTGTAAATGAGGTTCAGTTTTCAAATTAGAGTGGAGATTAAAGGAATTTTTTGTATTAACTGGAATGAAGAGCTCAGGGATTTGCATGTGGAAGAGGCCACATGAGACATGGAATCACACATGCAAGAACTATTTGGAACTTTTATCTGAAGCGTTTGGATTGGGAGGTGGAGCACACAGGGAAGGACTCCAGGCTGAGCTAGCTTACAGAGTTGAACAAGACTTGAGGTTTTTAGGAGTAAGCAGAGCTTAAAATGTACAGAAAAAAGGCACTGTGCAGCACAGAAAACTACATTTGAAAGGCAAGCTAGTAAATTATTTTGATGTTGAGCTGAGAGAGGTAAACTTGCCAAATGAGGTAAAAGGAATAGGAAGAGGTTTTATTTTTATTTTTTTTTTAGTCCCCCCAAAAAAAAAAAAAAAAAAAAAGACAAAGAAAAAGAGACAGGATTGTGGTGGAGTTAAGATCAAAGATAATATATGGTTGATGCTCTGGACTGCTTTCTGACAGGTTTCAGTTACAGATGATGATGGGCATAGATGCAGAATAGCTAAGCAAAATCAAATGAAAAGAAGCATATTAGAGATGTAAGCAAAGGTGTTTGGGGTCCTATATTCTCAGATTGCAATGAGAGAAGAAAATCTTCCTGTCTGCATGCAGGGAACTAGGAAAAAAGTTGCAAGTCTGCTAGAAAGGATTTTTCCCTTATGTTTGTCTATCTCCTGTCTAAAACTTCCATATAATCTGTTATGTTTAGGAAAAAGTTTGTATGTCAGAATGGGATCTCTCTTTGGTGATGCAGGAGGTACTCTCAGCAAGTCCTGTGAGGGCCATAGCTTTTGTGTCTAGCTACCATGATGATTTGCATGATGAGATGAAATAAAGTAGCAGATCTAGTGGAGGTGACTGTACCCTGAGTCATGGCCTGTTGTTTCAAGACCGTGTGTGATCATGAGAGAAGGTGGCAATATACTGGTTTAGTCACTAATATTGATGCAATGTGCCACTTGTAGAGGGCCAAAGTCTTTCACCTCTGCTTGTGGTGAGCTGATCACAGGGATATACAAGGATGCAGCAGCAGTGCACAGGCTGCTTGGCATAAACTGGCAAGAAAGAAAGGTTTAGTTAGTATTTCCACGTGGAGTTCATCTTCCAAATCAAATGGCAGTGGCTAGACCATTTGGTAACACACTGTTCTACTTGATGTCCTGCTTGTAAAATCATGGTGGTTATTCTCACTCCCTCATATCTTTTGTTACTGCTTCCACACAGAACTGCTCTATATTGTTGTGTTTGGGACTTTTGAACTTGCACAAAATGAGCTGATAAACTAAAATCTGTTCAATTAACTCTGCTTTATTACTCTCATAGTTTATGAATATGGCATTTCAATTATTGAAATTATACTAGGTCCTATAAAAATGCATAAAATCACATTCTAATGTGCTACTGCCCCTTTTTTAACTGTGCTGTGTATTTAATTACTCTCCAGTTCAGTGTTCACCTGGCCATTTTTATAATACCACAACTCATCGGTGTATTCGCTGCACAGTTGGGACATACCAGCCTGAGTTTGGACAAAATTACTGCATTTCATGTCCTGGAAACACCACTACTGATTTTGATGGGTCAACAAATATAACACAGTGCAAAAGTAAGTATAACAAGATGGTTTTGATGATCTCTTACAAGTAAAAAGACTGGGCCATTAATATTCAGAGTGGCCCTAAGGGCAAAATTTAGCTTTGCTCCAGGGAGCTTGGAGAGAAGGCAGTGGTGTTGCTCCTCTTTTGCTGCCTGCCTGCATCTCATCCCACACGGCTTACTGAGGTCCATGAGAGACCATTTCTGCAGACTGATTTCGTCATACTTGTTAAGGTAAGTGGCGATTGTGTCTTGCTAGTTGGTGCTGGGTCTCTTTGGGTTTTGCTATTAAATCATTTCTCCCAGGATATAGCAAACAGTGTTTATGTTCTTGGCGCCCTAATTTCTTTCCTTTCTATTAAAAGGAATGGAAATTGACACACAAAACTTAATAGCTCTAGTAACCACTTCTTAATAACAACCCTTGAAACAGGCAATTACAAAGAGGTGCTGTTTCCAACAGTGACTGCAGAGAGAGCTGTAGGATGACCTCACTTTGCCTAGTCTTGCACACTGTATTGCTTTTCCAGATAGGCAGTGTGGAGGTGAACTGGGAGATTACACTGGATATATTGAATCACCAAACTATCCCGGGGACTATCCTGCAAACACTGAGTGCACTTGGAATATTAACCCTCCTCCAAAGCGCCGTATTCTGATTGTGGTTCCAGAAATATTTCTACCAATAGAAGATGAGTGTGGAGACTACCTGGTGATGCGAAAGAGCTGTAAGTGTGGAATATCTAGAGGCATATGGTATCTATCTCAGTGTGTAGCACAGGTTTCTCCCATGCATTGCTGTTTACATAACTAAATGTAGTCTGGCTGGCCTCTACTTAAGAGTAGAAATTTCTTTAAATGACAAATTGAGAAATCCTATTTGATAATGCTGCTCTATAGGTTCAGGTGAAACAAGAGTGCAAGGCTATGATGTGTCAGTAAACTCTGAGAGAAATATTGTTAAGAAGGGGTAGATGCTTCAAGCTAACTAGTCATGACATGCTAAGCAGTTCTGTCCTGGGTTAGGAAAGGGGAGATGCTTGCTAGTCCCTAAAGGTGCCTGATGTGTGAATAAACAGCTTTGGTTTCTAATATAGGCACATACTTCAAACAGTAGACTGTTTTTTGGGAAAAGGGAAAATATTCCTTGACCAAGAATTCTCTCATTGATGGTCTGCCACATTTCAAGGAATTTTCTTAAGACCAGCAAGCATTTCTTGTCATGTTAGTTTAACTTATTTTCTAATTGTTGATTAGTATGAAGCGCTGCCAGATAACGGCCTATTGTTTGTTTTCTTTGAAAGCTTCTTCCAACTCAGTGACCACGTATGAAACCTGTCAAACCTACGAACGCCCTATAGCTTTCACTTCTAGGTCTAAGAAGTTGTGGATCCAGTTCAAGTCGAATGAAGGGAACAGTGCCAAAGGATTCCAAGTTCCTTATGTAACGTATGATGGTAAGCGGATGTGAGCAGCTGAGCCTATGTGACTAGTGCAGCTGCAGCAATGCTGAACTCCTTGTGGGCTCCTTGACCTTGCTAAGCAGCAGGGTTAACCCAGCACTCACAGCAGTGTCACTCTGAGACAATTTCCAGTAGCTGTTTTCATTTAAAGCTAGTTTAAGGAATTCTACATTGCACTGCAGTCTTAAGTGCCACCATATTTCCAGTCTTTCACGGATCTAAACAAAGAGCTGGAATTCTGAGCTCCGACCTGCAAATGGAGAGCTTGGAGACAGAATCTGAGTTTTATGCATTTTTGTGCCTTCCCAGTTCTGGGTTGCTTCAGGTGGCAGCGGAGTGCCCCCAGTTAGGAACTGGGCAGAGCCCAAGTGCCTCTGATTTATCATGTTGCTGCTACCATCTGTAATCTAGTACCAGATAGCAAAATATCTATATTGAAGAGAAGCTTGAGGGGCAAGAGTTTCACCCTCTCCTTGTCAGAGTCATCAGGCGTGAAACTGGAGCTGAGGCTTTGCACTTCAGCATAAGTGAGGTGAAAATGATACGGCATGTTTCTGTTCACACTGGATTAACTGTGAAGGGGTCATCCTCACTGTGGTCTGTGGAGTTTCATCAACAGTGGATAATTAATTTTTTTAAGGGAGACCTCTCCTTTTGAAGCATTTCAAGTTTTGATTGAGCAGAGGGGTTGCCTTTTAAGAAAGCTTCCTCTTACCTCTTCTTTTACCTTCTTATTTTAGAAAGAAGTCAATAACAGGTTGTGGGTATTTACAGATAAGTTTCTGCAGTGCAGTTGGTTTGAAGCAGGCTACTTGATTATGGTATGCACTACAATCCGAGATGCATTATGTTTTCTTTTGCTTTTGATAGATTAATACTGAGCAGCTCAGCAGAGTACACTGTTTTCATAGTAAACAGTATTTGTAGTTTCTTTACAGAAAAGCATTTGGAATATTTTCTGACTGCTAATGTGAGGGCCAAGTACCACTGGTTCTTTTGGGTATAGGGCTTACATGTGTAACCAAGGGAGGTAATGAGTATGTAAGTGAAGTGAATCTGCAGATTACTCTTGTGCATTCCCCGTAGAGGATTACCAAGAACTAATAGAAGACATTGTTCGAGATGGAAGACTTTATGCATCTGAAAATCATCAAGAAATACTTAAGGTATGTTCCTTCCAGTACACATGTTGATTTTGATTGAAAATGACACTGCTTTGTGCCAGTGAGGTTGCCTCCTGCTCTGCGTCAGATCTGTTCCGTGGTGCACTAGACACCTGCTACTTCAGGGTAAGTCAGCACATCCTGATTGTGCAGAGAAACAGGATAGGAGACCCTTTGCCTAGGGGGATTAAAGGTGGATCAGACCTGCTAGGGAAATCTATGGTGAAGGTAGTCCCTTGGATCTTACATAGGCTGTGCTGGAAGGAATCAGTGGAACAAACTGAGGGACATGGATTTGATCTCTTGGAGAAGCATTTGGTGCTGCTACTTGTAGCCTGTAGATTAGCAAGGACTTTTTCTCCTGGGGCGAAAGATATCTCTTATTATTCAGTCATTAAGCTTTGGTAATACCGGCGCTAAATCCTCTGTGGAATTATTGTAAAATCTACTTTCCTTTTTCTAGGACAAGAAACTGATAAAAGCATTGTTTGACGTGTTGGCGCATCCACAGAACTACTTCAAGTACACAGCCCAAGAGTCAAGAGAGATGTTCCCAAGATCCTTCATTCGGCTGCTGCGCTCTAAAGTTTCCAGATTTTTGAGGCCTTACAAATAGTTGGCACTGTACTTAAAAAACTAACTAGCCCTGGGCATGCACAGAGGGATGTGGTAGGAAAGGCTGCTGTCTGTGTTTTACACACTGGCAGAAAAACTCCAGGGAAGCCTGCCAGCTCCGTCTTGGCAGAGTTTGGCTTCTTCAGCTAATATAAATATTTTGGTTAACAGAATTTTGATTCCTTTCCAGATAATACCTTTTGGCTACTAAGACCCTTCATGGGTCTCTGAGTTAGAGACTGCCCATAATTTCTGTAACTGAATGGTGCCAAGCAGAAGTTTGTAGAGCTCTGCCCTGTTGCTTCATCAGAAATTCTAAAAGCTAACGAGGACAGACAGGCTAAGTAGTGTGGTTTAGGACAAATTCTGGACTGCCATCTGTGCATGTTACCTCAACAAAGCTGGGTTCGTGTTTGGTCTCACCAAAAGTGAGAACAAGATTGGTATCTCTCTTAACTTTTGCTACACAGAAAATTCAAGCTAAGATTGAAATAGTTTCAGTCTAAACCAGTAAGTCCAAGAATTGCACAGGGTATAGTTTTTCTCTGAACTCTATGTTGTATGAGGCATATGGAGGAATAAGCAAAAGATTGAATATTAGTTCGAATGCTCTGGGTCTGGATCACACTGTGTTCATGCTAATGACCTATTGGTTTAAATGGAGTGATACCAGAATAAAAACAGGGCACCACAGTAGGGGAAAACAGACCAAACACGCTCTGACCCACTGGACACTTCCGTTTTGGGCTGGCTGCAAAAGTTACAGCAGCATGGATTCTTTGCTAAAGCCCAGCGCTCTCCCACTGCAGAGGCCTGGAACAGCGTGAGGCATTGGCTCTTCCAGGTAGTATAAAATTCTGTCCTCTCAGCACCTGTGGTTTAACACACAAGCCCCATTTTACATGCAGGCTTTGCATAGATTATGCTCTTGTACAGCACTGTTTAAACCTGTTAAACAGGTTTAAGAACCTGAGGTTCTTCTATGAGCCTCAGTCCTTACATTCCTTACGTTGTCTGAGCACCTTGCAATGACCGTGTTGAGCAGAGGAGAGCTGCTTTCCCTGTCTTGCTGGAGAGATGTAGATGTACAAAGATACTCCTCAACCAGACCATGGCTGCAAAAGTCATCTATGGCAAAATGCTGTACAAGATTCCCAAACTCTGTCTTTTTCCTCAGGTGTGTTTTTTATGTGAGAGAAGGCTACTCTGAAAGGACCTGTGGGTAGAACTATGTTGATCAAAATGTTGTCTCAGTGCTTTTCTGTCCACACTTACATCACATTACTGTCCTCTGGCCCTGCAAACCCTTTCCCTCAGTATAATGTAGCTTCTGGGCTCCCTGTCTTGAAGGGAGATAGCTGCAGTCCTGCTCATTTGGAGATGGACTTACGACCTCTTATCTTTTGGTCACTGGCAGTGCCGAGTGGTGCAGCAGGCGCCAAACTCCCTCTGTGCATCCCCTTAGGAAAGGTACTGAAGTTTTGCGGTGTAGCCAGGACAAGGGCTCCCTTCCCTAGGGTGTGGAGTTGTATCTCCCTGGGTTTCGTTGTGTCGGTATGTGGTATTTAACCGTTGTATGTGAATAATACCACATCCATGGTGTGACAGGTGAAACCCTCGTCGAGAGACAGAGCCCAAATCTCTCCCCTAGACTGTTGGGAGCAAATGAGCCATGCTGAGCTGCTGTGCCATGGCAGCCCTGTCCGGTGGCACGTGAGGCAGTGCAGCCTGATGTGTGGGAACGACACCTCTTGGTCATGGTGTGACGGGAAGGGGCAGTGGCCTCGGGCCACAGCTGGGGAGCAGAGCCTCTCAGGATGCAGCAAAGGGGAGCAAACAGGCTTGGGGGGGATGAGGGAGGGTGAATTAGCAGAGCAGAGGGGAAGGAGCCCAGGTCCTCGTGTGTTCCTGGATTGTATGCTTCATCCTGAACAGGTGCCCTGCTGCCTTTGTGCGAGGGAGGACAGGAGTTATCTAGAAGAAGGTATGAGGCAGTGCGATTGGTGAGAGGAATGGCTAAGGAATGCCAAAACAAGAGGAAGGGTGGTGAGAAAGGTTTGCTGCGTCTGTGGTGGAGTGTACTGTTGTGGTGAGATCCTAGGAAGGGATTTCAAGGTAGTTTCTCTCTGGCCGCACAGCCCCTACCTCTACTTTTCATGGCTTCCCATGCCAGATGCAGTGTGTGAGTCGCAATGAGCCACTGACCATCTCTATGTGGCAATGGAGCACTGTGAAATGGGTGAGATGTGGCAGTTCCGCTCCAAGTGTATGGGTGAGTTAGAGACCTGGTGGTGGGGCACTGGGAGGAGAAAACCATGATCTGCCAGCTTCTGGGCCAAGCCCAGCAGAGTGGCTTTGCTGTGGTACGTGTGCTCTCTGCCAAGGGAAGCAAGCCAGTTCTTGCTGTGTTCCCTCCCAAGAAGGCTACAGATCTGAACATTTCTGTTTCGTGTTGCTGGGTGACACGCAAATCAGAGTGATTGATTTCAACAAGGGTTCAAGAAAACAAAAGCTGTGAAACATCCAAATATTTTTAACTGGTGAAATTGGGCTTTCTTGCTCTGTGCATGAGCTGCTGTCTCTAGCTCTGGGTTCGTTGTGCTGCACCTCATCTTGTAGGCACGCTGTTGAGCTCCGCGCGGCTGCTCTGGGACCAGCATCTCGCCTTCCCTCTGCACAGCAGATCTCAACTTCACTTCTCTGTTGCCCCCATGCGCACAGGACATTTTCCTTGTCTGTGGAAGGAGGGGAGCGTGTCAGTGTGGTGTACGGTCTGAGGCTGACCTGCCCTTTCTTGAAGAGAATCCTTTTTGCTCCACAGCTCTGTTCGTTTTCTACATAAAAAGTAAATGACTCGGAAGCACTTCTGTCACTCTTGATCTAACATTATGAACCAAAATTTCTCCTTTTACTGTAGATCCTGTGTGTGCAGTAAAAAGTGAAAAGGGAATTTTTGCCATCTTAAATGCTGGGAGAAGTGATAACTGTTGCAGAATGTTGTAACACTTGGCATTGTATCTTCATAGCGATGGTAGTGGCTCTGTAGAAATTTTAATTTCTACTTTCTGTGTGGTTGTAGACTGATGTTATTTTTTTGGCAACAAATGATTAAAAAAATGTTTAACCTTGTAAAACAGGATTTAACTTTTGAAATAATTAGTGTTAACTGGATGACTTAATGTCACCTACATGAGATAAGCATAAGGATCTTTTTTATGACTGTAAATTAATGTAAAATGTTTCAGACTGTTACTCTTAATAAGAGAAATAAACCAATGAACTTTAGTTGCATGAAAACCTTGGGTAATATTTTTAGTTGTCTTTGCTGTGCTAAATAATGGGTTTGTGACAAAATTAATGGTTGTGTAGCAAGTTATCGCACATCAGATACACTTTATCCTGGGAATATCTGCTTGCCATTGCATTCTGTTTCATGTAATATGTTATTAGCCTCCATCTATACCCATAAAGATACAATTTTTCATATATTTAGTGGTGCACATATTTCTGGCTAGTATAATAGCAGAATTATCCTGGTATAAATTCTAATAATTATGCTAAAAATGTCTCCTATATGATGAGCTGGAGTCAATTGGCCTGTTGTAACCAGCTGTATGAAGACAGAATAAACTACATAAAGTAACTGCAAAGTATTTTATTACTTTGTAGATTAATCTATTTTTTTCTAAAAAAAACTAAAACAACAAAGCCCCCATACCCCCTTGTTTAAACTTAAAAATAATAATTTAAAAAAAAAATGGAACCAAAACAACAAGATGAAAACCTGTGTTAAGACACAAGTTCCCAGAATATTTTTAAGATTGCACTACAGTTTCATCAGAACTTTTCATTAAACCCACTGACTTCATTTCTTAGAATTAAAAAATAGAATTAGGTCATAGGAAATGATAAATTAGTTGATCTATAATATTTTTAATACTTTTTTCCTATATTTGTTTCTGTGATATTACATTGAGTTTATTAGTTGTAGTCAATCTATCAAACTTTTATGAAAATAATCCCAGTGTCTTCTCCTTAGTTTATTCAATGGTTTGTTTGACTGTTAGCTTCCTTTGACCACGGTGACAAGGACTGATTTGTATTAAATTGAATGTAGCCATCTGCGTTCTTTTGGTGCAGTTTGGAAGATACAACTGTATAATTCGGCTGTTAGCTGTAGAAAGCTGACATTGGTTTATGTGGAAAAGACGGCAAAGTAAGTGATATACAGGAATATAAGGATCATGGAAAAGTGGGTTGACTGCAGGCTAATCTCAGTAGAAAACTGCGTTACCCAAATATTCTTCCTGGTACTGTAAATGCTGCCACCTGCTAGACTGCAGTGATGGACACATCAGTGCTGGGATACCCTCCAGGTCGAGGAATGTCAATATGAACTATCTTGTGAACTCCCAGAGTGGTAGAAGCTGAAATTCTGACCTTTGGATGTTTACATAACAGAAATAAGTAATAGAGGAATATAGAGAGCAAGACTTGAAACTTAAAATTTGAGTCCAAGGAATCAGAAGAGGTCTGATGCGAGTAAGCAGGAAGGAATGGCATTACAATAACCTTTGGGAACAGAATGGATAGTGGTCCACAAATATTTCTGAATTAAATAAATGCAAATACTTTTTGTATCATGCATATAGATGACATTCTGTAAATACAATAGATGCTGAATGTAAAACCTGTCACAACTAAAACGTACATATACTTCCTATCTTCCTTTTGATGCTGCTCCATTCAAACTGTGTTTGTGCAAGGCTGCTGTGGGAGGAGACAAACAAGTACTCCTAAAGGAACTAGAGCCAAATTCCGGGCTAGTACAAGTAGGTTTGTTTCTACGCATCCCTGGAACCAACCTGTCCTGCAACACAGCTTGCTGTTGCCCATTTAGTTTGAACAATGCTTTTGCTCGTAGGCAGATTTTCAGTGTCTGTTGTGGAGCTCTGCTTTCCACAACGTATATTCTACTGTCACTGTAGAACACTTGTGAGCAGTGATGCAAATATAGAACCTTCAGGGAAAACAGGAGGAGTTAGAGTATTCAAGGGACAGATTCCACTCAGAAGGTAAGTTCATCTAGTTTCTCTCCCAAGTCAGTGCAAATTATTTATGACTTTCTGCATGTTGCTTATTTAAAATACCTTATTAAACCACTCTAAGTGTTAAAAAAAAGAAAAAGATTCTTTCTGTTTAAATATGTATGTTAGTGCAGCTGTTGCTCTGATTAAACAAATTTTGAAGAGTTTGAATTTTTCTAAGTCCATGAAGTAAAGGCAGTTTAGTACACAATGAAAAAAATCAGTCAGAAAAGATGTCCTTGAAATCTTTTTCCTTAGTGAACATGTCTGTAAATACAGAATTCATTAAGGAAGGGCCCTCACGCTGGCTAGCTGCTGATCTTGATCTAATGCAACTGAAGCCTGCTTTTTTTCACTGGGAAGTTTATTCAATAGGCAATGTAGACTTGCAAACCTGGATATTAATCATGT